TTATACCTATTACCCAATAGCACAGGATCTGTATGGTTCTATTAAATTAATTAAAACCATCCTATCGCTAAGTGTACCTATATATATTAGAAATATTTGAGCCAATATTAATATTTTAATTTTTTTTATAAAGTTTGACCGACATTCCCGAATTGCGGCAAGCGAATATTTTCATAAATTATTGACTTTATGTTTATTGGAACACAGAATTTGTAAACAATGATACTTGCGCCATACACATATTACATTAATTAATATTCAATACTTTTCGAAAATATTTACTCTCCTCAATTTATGAATGTGAATAATATTTACTATAATAATAGCTGCGAGTATTATATAAATTTTTTTTTTACAATTTTTTATTTACTTTAACCAATGCAGGTAATTGACAAACTGCATAAATGTAATAACGTACAAATAAGATAAATATAAGTTGGTACTAGAGTCTAGAGTCGTGTTAAGGTTTTAGTCTCTACACTTATAAATGCTGGAGAACCATATCAGATGCAAATATAAAAATTACACTGTTATACGTACCTCCAAGTGTTCGGAGGACATGTATTCGAGAACTTGATCAAATACACCGTACGATACAATTGTATGTAAAATACGTACGATGTAATATAAATATATAATATGTGATGAATATAAATTATACACTATATTTTAAATTTTTAAATGACTCACAGCTGCTTATCGCCAATCGCCAATGGACTATGCTGTATCGGGATTAGGTGACACAAATTAATCACATGTTAATGCTCGAGTCGAAATAAAAAAAACAAACTCCATTACTGCTCGTTAAAAAGAAGTTCAGTTGTCACTCACAGGTTTCGGTATTGAGAGGTTGTTGTCAAGATGGGTGCACCACCCACATGCGCCGTCTAAAAGGACGACACGGTTAAGCTGGCCAGAGAATGGCAGGCGGCTCTATCAAAGGTTGTTGCACTCCCGAGCACTAGTTTTCATTTGGGCGGCAAATACCTTTTACGACCATTCCTTTCCTCTGGCGGCATATAAGAAAGCCACACGCTTTACATTTTACCGTTACAACTACGTGTTGATTTCTTAATCCGATGATCGTATAATACTAATCGTTCCTTTCGTCGGTGATAGGGTTTTATTGGAGGGTATGTCGTCTGATTTCTGGGTTCCACAATTTGGCCGTAATTTATTAATATCATGTTTACTTTATTTTTTTTAGTTTACTTGTTATAACGATGCGTAAGCATGGCATGACAATAATTTCACCCTTTTGGAATTTGTAATGTAATGCTATGACTGCGTACATATTTTTTTTTTATTAATTGTTTGAATTTGTTTGATAGTTTCCTGCACTTATTCGACGTTCCTACGGGACTTGTTAAACTTTTTGTTTCGTGAGGTCGCATAAATGATTCCTCATAGCTTCCTGGAGCTAAAAAATTGTAAGTATACATATATTTTTTTATACCATAATTATTATAACACCGTGGTTTGAATTGGTTCGATAGTTTTCTGCGGCGTTCTTGCGGGACTTTCAAATAATATCCACGGAGTGGAGGGGGGTGGCCGACCCCTCACATCCCTCGATCGTATACACCCCCGAACAAGTAGTGTTGTATCGGGTTGGTATACGTGTACTACACACGAAAACTCGATAAGATCCACTGCAATAAGCCCCGAATAAGCAGTCTGTCTGGGCACTGTAAATTGTGTGCGCACATGATATTAACGTGTTTCGAAAATCATTTATTTATATTAAATTATTGTTATATAATATCATTTCCGACTAGGTATGTTAATGAAGTGACGGACGACGACGACGTTTCACTACCTATGCATTATTATTGTATACGCGTAGGTATATAAATGTGCATAATATTATATTATCATAATATTATATTATATAGCTGATGGCCGATAGGTAGGTACTTTTGTACAAAATAAATGCATAATATTACGCTCGCCGTCCTCTGCACTACACGGCACCGCACCAGTGTGCTGTACGAACTCGGGCGCCTCCTCTGCAACAAGTAACAACACGCACATTTACTTTGCACCTTATTCATTACGTAAAACGTAGGTATATGTGGTAGGTGTCTGGTTATGTATACGTGCTATACGCATAATATGTAAATAATAATAGCTCGTGTTTACAATTTGTTTATTATTATTTGTGATTATATGCTACGGAGCCTTATAGATAATGACAACCCGGTGCCGTGTTGTATAATACCGATGTTTTCTCGTTGTAACTCATAACACTCAAACGAGGAAAAACATTCGACGAATATATTGTGTGATAGAGAGATGATTAGCGATGATTATTATTATTATTATCATTTCAAACCAATTTATACATTTTATTCCGTTCGTTTGGTCGACGGCTCTTTCGAAGATATAGTAATAATTGTATATTACCTTATGTAATACCTACTGTATTAGGATTAGTAAAAATGGCATTATTAAAATCGAATAATAGTTTTTTTTTCCTCAAAAATTATAATTGTAAATCACCTTTACGTCGAATATTCCCGTACATATATTATAATATAATATATGACATATATTTTATATACATAATAGTATAATACTACAGTCTTGCTGCAGCGGTAGCTCATTGACCGCGTGTCAAACAATTTAATGTCAAACACAATTTCGAATCAAAATCATAATTACACGGCCACTTAGACCGCGCTTGTGCACAGGGTTAAAGGTGTGATTTCACGGAAGAAAGTCCTCGGAAATCAGATTTCAACGACAACACAGTATACAAGAACCTAATAAAATAAAAATAAAAACGACAACACAAGCTTCAGACATCTTACAGATAATAGTGCCCATATACATATACCCTACTTAGCTGTACGTATGTAATGTAGTTCCTAGAGAACGAAATTTCCATCAACCGCTATGGAATTATATATTAATATATTACGGAGTTTTTGTATTCGCGATGGTAATCGCCGTGTTCGGAACGAAGTACTGCAACGACAATAATATGTATTATAATTATTATCGTCGTATTGCGGTTATGTGGAATCCGTTATAAAATTGAAATCAGCAATACAATCAAACCACACGATCACTGTGTGACACTACAATATAATATATACTCGCTTAATGTATAAGCAGCCCGGTTTTTCGTCTCGAGCTTTGGTCAAGACAGACATTTTATTCTCCGGTTCAATCGTAACGTACGCATACATATACATCTGCGGGACCTGTTAAATAAATAAACTGTACCCTGCATATAGATAATCCGTAGGTATACACAATAATATTGTTGTTATGTCACGATTTGCGATACGTTCGCAGTGTTCAAATTAAAAAAAAAAAAAACCATTTGTAGAATACCGAGTAGGTACTTACTTGTGTGTTTAATATTATATACATACTATGGTATAAACGAGACTCTGAGCTATAAAACATTAATCGACTTTACGCTACATAACGCGTAATACGTAATATGCCTACGATGTAGACTATTACGTTCTCGTGTGAAGTGGTTTAATAAATGATTTTTAAAAAAAAAAAATTTTAACAATCGCAGTCGAGTTCTCGTCATTCCGCATGATTTCCTCCGTCGAGTATTCGAACATTATTGCGTACTTGGGATACGTCACTTACATACACTGGGAGTAAAACAATCGCGCATTGTACTTGTAGTCATATTATATTATAATGTACTAATGTGCCTATATATACATAGTACATTAGTATTATATAATAATTGTAATGGTTCCTACGTACACACAAGTGCATGCGATTTTGAAGGTGCGATTATTATTGGGGTGAATACAAATACTAAAAAAACGATATTAGAATAATTCATTTCGGGCACCTATAGTAGTAACAAAACACACAATAATGAAAGTTTCTTTTTAAAAGTTTTTTTTATTAATCAATAACGAAAAAAATGTAAAACAAAGAGAAAAATATAATATTAAAACCATAACATAATAATATTATTTTAAAAATATACTAACTAAACTGCAGAATATTTTGTATAATATAATGTGTGTAGTAACCTATACAAATAAATTATGTTTAAATAATAAAAATAAAAAATATGTATTATACGGTACTATTTTAAATAACTAAAAATACGATATCTTACAAGTTATAAAAATTTAATTTTAGACTAGAAAAATCTACTGAATAGGTAAAAAAAAATTATACTTTAAATTAAAATTAAAAAAAAAAAAAAAAAAAAAACAAACAAAACGTACAAAATGTTTATTATTGTACAACATACGTAAAAAAAGGTATTTACAACAAATTTTAAACTCTGTTGAGCCAAAGGCAGTTTTTCGTAAATCTTACACAATATGTAACTTTGTATTAATAGTAAAATAAAAATCGATTAAAAATATAGTATTTAGACTTAAAAATTTGGTAATTTCACGCAAGGCCGAAAAGAAAAGAAAACGGTTAATATATTATTATTATATTATTTTAGTGTATATAAACATTAAACATATTATATACGTATAGATAGATATATTTAAAATCTACTTTTATATAACGGGTAACATTATACCGATATAATAAATTAGGAATTTCGTTAGGTAACTATTTTTTTCCTTTCATTTACAATAAACGTTTTGGCATGGTGTGGTCAGCATCTGGCTCTAAGACCTAGTATGCTGTACACAGGTAACTCATTTGTTGTTCTTGATTTTTTTTTCTGGTATGAAAATAACGTTAATTATTATTAATTATATTATAGGCACTTTGACATCACAGTGTTTCACGTTATTGAAAGAATTTATAAGAATATTATTGTAAAAAAAAAAGAAGAAAAAACACGAAATAATATTAAGAAAAAAAACCTATCCAATTTTGGCAGTTATCATTATAACTTTTCAACCCAATATAATACATTTATTTATTTTTATTATTAATCTAACGGATCGGAGGAGTAGGTACTCTAACATATCCGACGCTCGAAAGGTAAAAAAAAACACGAATAACGACAAGAACTGAACCGAACGCAACCGATAGTACTATTGGTCACACACTCGTCTGTTTGTGCGGTGCAAAAATTATAGTGAAAATATGCACACTTTGCTCTCGAACATTTGGTACTTATACCTATGGGTACGAGTACGGACCATTATTAATGGTTCTTGTCCGGTATAGTAACGATGAACGCGTCCTTATACGGTACAACCTGAACGCGCGGCGGACGGACATTCGTATACAACGCACGTGGTGAATAATATGTAATTTTTGTACAGGATAAACAGGTGTCATCACCGAAAGTCATACTCGTACACCGAACTTTGGAAAACAAATAATATTTCAGTGATGTAGTGTGGAAATATTGTAAAATTATTACAGTTTCCAAGTGCCACGCCGTCGGGGTTGGAAGTCGGACATTGGTTTTTTTTTTTGTTTTCATACATTCTGGTAATGTTCGGGAATGTCCGCGGACGACAACGCTTCCTAGTTACGATACTGTCATACAATACAATCGTATAACACTTATACGGTCACTTGTGGACGATCTATTAACATAACATAATATACTCATCTCAGCCGACGTAGTTTCAATAACCGTAGCAAGCCACGGCGTATATTGACTATCTAGATATGATATAGTATAATAATATGTATGAGTAGAAAATATATTATACGCAATTTGGTCGACTCCGATCCTCTCACGTTAATGTGTTTTTTTTAATATGTACACGTACAAAAAAAATATGTGAATAAAATACAAATTATAATTAGGAAAAAATACAAGAAGACGAGCAATTATCTCCGAAACGATATAGGTAGGTAATAAAAATTGAACACTCGTGGCGTATGCACATCTATACAAACCTAAAAGAAGGGGTAAATAATGCTGCGGCGTTTCAAAACAATAATAATATTACAATATTTGCATTGATTAAAAGGATTTTGTACGAGTAGAAAAATAAATAAATAGTCCATATTATAATAAATCTATATGTCTTAGACACACGTGTATAAAAATATGCCCGATATCGAAAGGATTTTGGTAAGATTCGTTATATTTTTAAAGAAAGCTCAACATTTTTTTATCGTAAAAAAAATAATTGTATACGTTATCAATACCTACTGTTATTATTATACATTAGTTAAGTAGCTCAGCGTTTGAGAGCCGCCGCCAATATATTTTAATTTTGTATTTTAACGTTTATTGATGATTTGCATTTATACAGTTTTATAGGATTATATTATATTAATACATAATATCATTTTATTTTTTTTGTGTCAAGTCTCGAAGAAACTTTTAAATAAACGATTTTTATGAACAATAACAATTATAACATTCTAACTAATAATTATCATAATAAAAATAATAATAATAAAAAAAACCAGGTCAGAAAATGTCCCTGTTTAATACCAAAAAGTGTGAGAGGAGATGATATTGAACCGGGTTCATCGATGCACGATTACTTGAAACCTGAAAATAAATCAAACAAGAGCTTTAATTATCGCATATCGCTGTGGGCGTTGTTCAATAATATTAACCTACAGTACATAATTAATTATTAATATTAACTCGTCGACCATACACAAACTATTATAAACGATGCCTATACAATAGACGCGATTGAAAACCGAAAGCCTCGTAAAGTCGTAACCATAATAATAATGATAATAATATTACAATCGCACGGTCACCAAGTACGACATCATCAGCAGCAGCAGTGCAAAAGTGAATCGTAGTCGTTGGGTCCGTTGGGGGGGGGGGAGGGGTCGTATGGTCGCGCGAGAGCGTTCGCACCATACGCACACGTGCAAAGGGAAAAAAACGCTCAACAAGTCGCCGTCGTCGTGTAGGAACGACTGTGTATTATTATTATAGTACATAATAATATTGTGTTCACTGTACCTATACGTCGGTTTTCGCACGCACATTTCCTATGTGTTATATTATTATTATTATTACTCGTTTTATGCGTATTTACATACGCTCGCTGCAGTGTTCTTTTGCGAGTTTCATTATTATTATTGTTGTGCTATTCGGAAGCGGTGGAATATTAAAAACGCTATCCCGGTTTCCATTGAACCGGGGTGCGGTGTCGGGCGAAACTTGTGTGTGTGTGTGTGTGTGTGCTTTTACGATTTTTAATACGCGAATACACACTCCGCAGCAGTCGCGCCCCTGCGACACGGAGGTGATGGCGGTGAAGGTGGTGGTGGTGGTGGTGGTGGTGGTGGTCGAGGCTAGCGTGTGTGGGAAAATATTCAAAGATTGATAACCTGCCCGCGAGGGGTGCGCGTTTATAACAAACACCACACACACACACACACACACGTGCGCGTGCGAGAACACACGTACCGCACCGCAAACACACGCACACAGAAACCCACCAGCGCGGTCTAGGGGGTCCATGGGAATTTCGGACGTAAAAAACAAAACGAGGAGGAAAAAAAAAACTTAAACAAGGGGCGACTGCACACAAAAGTGTAAATGATTATGCATGCGCGAACTCAACACACACACACACACACACACACGTTAATATATATATATATCATTATATAATAATAGTAACAGGTTAAGGTGTACACAAAGAAATCGCTCAACTAGGTCGGTAGGTACCTCTACACGACTACACACATATATATATATATGCCTATTGCCTACTATTATAATGCGCCTACCTATATAATATTAAAATGGCGTATAATACCGCACTAAAGTACTATTATTATTGTTATTATTATTATTATTATTCTGGCGATGGGTGATGATGGACGGTCGAACGCACCTGATGTGATATGATATAATAATATTTTATTATAATTTCGAGAAAACTTATATAATAATATCATAACGCTGTTATGCCTCACATTTAGAGACCCGGACGACGACGATTTCCTCCTCGCGCGCGGCTTTTGTCGCGCCCGGGAAGAAAAAGGCCGGCGAGATTTTCATCGACGCTGACACTACGCATAAAATATTCTTATCATTATTATTATGATAACTACACGTGAGTGTTATTATACAACATCACAATATTTTTATTACATCGATAATGTGTATAATAATAATAATAATAATATGACGTATAGTATTCGCAGTCGGACGAATATTATTATAATTTATCGTTTTGTCGGACCGCGGTGGTGGTGGAAACCCGGCGAATTTTCGAGTGTGCCTATATAGTATATATTATTATTTATGTTTCGCAACGCTCGCTGGGAACAGCGTTATTTTGTACTATTATCATTATTATTATTATTATTATTATTATTATTACTATTACTATCATTATGTAACGCGACAACGCCGTTTTCCATCTCGCGCGCACATAATATATAATAATAATAGTACACACTCGACCCAGAAACCCACACGCACGCCGCAGAGTGAAAACAATGTGTGTGTGTATACGTGCGGCGGTGGTCATTTCTACGATCTAATAATAATAATAATATATCATTATAACGTTATGTATAATAAATAATAATAATAATAATAATATAATATATGCTAGTGTGAGGTGTGTGTGTGTGTGTGTGTTGTATTATATATTATTATATTAAACTGTTGTTGGCCCGGGAGATCGACCGAGTAATTAATTTATAAACCGTTACGCGATATTATTACTATTATTATTATTATTGTTGTTGTCGTGTCGTGTAATAACAACACGCGGTGCTTTGTAAGACGGTCAAAGGTCGGCAAGTGTCAGAACGGTAGTCGTGTACGACCGTATATTATAGTATATATAGTGCCGAGGTATATCGCGGTCGTTGTAGCATTGTCGCCGAACGAAATATCATAATAATATATTAATATTGTCAGAGACACACAAGCGCCTAGTGATTTTCCGCGATCGGTTATTGCCACCTCCACAGCACCGACGATGGAGGCGGCGCCAAGCCTCCGGTACCCCAATAATGTATAAAAGGTGTAATGTTATTGTGTGCGTGTCGTTTATTCGTGATAATTGCCGACCGAGATTTGCAGAGATTTCTGGCGGCCCGGGGTTTCGTTTCCGCCACACGCGCTTCCGGATCCCGCCGGGGGAAAACGACCCCCTCCCCCCATCACCATCGCCGGTAATATAGCTTGCCGCATTGTCGCGGGCGCCCACCGTCGTCGGATCCGTCAAGTGCCGACGGTTTTCGTTTTGTGTTAAAAACGATTTAATGACTGCCTATTGTCGATTTTGGTTTATGGCCCGCAGAGTTATAGGTCAAGGCAGATCTTGACGTAGCTCGTTATGCATATATATATATATATTGATTATTGAATCGATGATACGAGTGTTATATTCAACTCTGTTTCTGCTGATAACGCGCTCCGCAGTCGGTATTATAATATTATATACCGTGTACCGGTGTGTGTAAACCGCGACGCGTACACCTGCTGTACCTGGCAGAACACATGGTTTCTTGTTCATGAAAATTTCACCAATTTACTACCTGTCGTTACGGTTTTATAATATAATAAGTACGCACTGCAAATGCATACGGGCCTGCAGTGCAGCGGGGGTCACTGCAGTTTATAACACACACACACACACACACACATACTGGCGATGAGTGCTGTGCAGCGGTTTACGGAGAAATTGCAAAAAGCCTTTGCAGTAAAAAAACATGATTTACCGATGTCTCCGAGTTGACCTACTCCCGAGTTCGAACGCAGGAAACGAACGCGCAATCGTATCGTTGCGTTCGCCCGCGCCTAACCGTGAAAATCAGTCGAGTGTTATATCGTGTTACGTGCGACTGTGTAATGATTATACACGCGTCGCCTTTTTTTTTGCACCAGCTAAATATCAGCCTCGGGCCATAAGTCATAACTATATCTTAATTTCATACATAATCGTCCGTGGCGCATACTATTAAAATAATTGACATCGCGTATAATTTAAATATCATATTATTATTATGTTATCGGCGGATCACTGTGATACGGTGGCAAACGTCTCGGTGCACGAATATTTTATTGTATATTAGGCGTATAGAGACGCACGTGCCACCGGATTAGGGTCGATTTTCAAGTCCCGGAGATAACCTTTAAGGCGCAGGAATCTCGGGATGAGTCTTGAACTTGCGGTGGTGGGGTAGTGGGGTGTTGGGGGGTGAGATGTGTGCCTAAATCACTGATTTCACATGCGTGTACCTGTACGTAGATCGACGACGATAATATAATAACAATCATACACAATATAGTAAATAAAAGACAATAAGTGATAAAATTAATATTTACCACTCGCGTGAGGTGGTTCACTGCAAGTGTGGGTAGGCGTCGAAATGTTTGTTGAGCTCCCGGTGAAGGTGCTCGGGCAGGACGCCCACGTTGGTGAATAGCGACCTGAGCACGTTGAGTTCCTCGCTGAGCAGCTCTATCCTCTTCTGCAGCCGCTCGTTCTCTTTGACCAAAAGCTTGACCTTCTCCTCGGTCTCGCGGCTGCGGATCTTCGCCTTTTCCCGGCTCTTGCGGACCGCTATGTTGTTCCGTTCGCGCCTCCTCTTGTACTCGTCCGTGTTCTTGTCCACGGACTTGTTGCTGCCGGAACTCGACTTCCGGTGGTGGTTGTGGTGATGGGCCTTGAGATGCGAGCTACTGCCGTTGCTGGACACGGGCGACGTCTGGAACGCGCCCCCCTGGCCGTTGCTAAGGTACTGCTGCTGTTGCTGTTGCTGCTGCTGTTGCTGCTGGTTCCGGAACTCGACCGACTCCGGCGGTTCCTCCTTGATGGGACCTCCCGTGGAGGCCGGCGTGCTCTCGTAGTGCACGGGCTGCGGCATGTACGCGAGCGTGGTGCGCGAGTTGAAACCGTTCTGGTTGACGCCGTTCCGGCCTCCGCCCCCGCCGGTGCCGTTGGGCAATTTCACCTGGCCCTGTTGCAGGATCTCCGTGAACAGCCCTTCGCTGAACTGGCTGTCGTCGATGAGGTTCTGCAGGTCGAGCGATATCTCGGGCGTGGACAGTTCCGATATGTCGTACCTGTTCTTGAGCTGCCCGAGCTGCGCTTTCTTGGCGGCCATCGCCAATTCCTGTTGGCTGATCTGGTGGTGCTGCGGCTGGTGAGCGTGCGGCTGCGGCGCCGTGTCGTACATTTGCGGTGAGTTCATCGTGCGTTTGTATCACGCTGGTTGGTGAGTAAGTGCACTTATCTACGCTTGTGCGTGCGCGGAGCGAGGTGTGCCGGTGCAGTGCTGCAGCGGCGGCGGCGGCGGTGCGGGCGCACAAACGAAAATCGGAGCGGCGAGTACGTTGCGGCGCTCCGAACGGCGCGTAACACTGTCGCGGAAAAACGGTGCCGACGAGAACGACTCTGTACCGGTCACCTTACCTGTACACCAACTTCGGCGACGTATAGACCTCTCGTGTCACCGGTAGAACGGTGCGTTCGCGGCGATCGATTGACAGACTGCGACGGCGGAAAAGACGACGGACGAGGACAACGGCGTGACCATCGTATTCATCGTGTGCGCGAACTGTGCGATGTGCTTTACTCTTATGATATGCGTATAGTATTCATACAACAATAATAATTACAATAAAAGTATATTATGTTTTATTTTTTTTTTTTTCAACGGCACCACTTGCGGACGACGGCGATAATATAATAGTCGATATAATATGTGACACGCGGTAGAGAAAATGCGAATTATTTTCTTAAAATTTTTTCTCAGATTTTTACCACCGACCCATCGACGAGTGGTGAAAAAATAAAAACCGCTCGGTGAATACCTCGTGAAGACGCGAGACGCACAGAATTACAATAATTGTATATTTCAATAATAGAATATAATTGTATATTATAATATTATAATAAAGCGCGTACGCGAAAAATAATATAAATATATTATTATATTACAACGCGTACGCGAGACAATATTACTATTGAACGATATAGAAAAACGGAACGGATCGGCCGACGACTGTATAATATCACGAGAGCGTGTTCGCACCTACCAGACGCGTGTTCAGCGTGCGACTACCCCGGCGCAGATTCGGCACCAGTTGCACAGAGTAAAATATGAGTATAGTAGTAGTAGTGTTAGTATTGGTTGTTGTAGTAGTACGTCGGCGACGCGATCGCAGCGTTGGCATACGCGCGGATTGAATAGCTGCCGCCACGCTATCGCCTCCTCCTCCTCCTCGTCCTCCTCCTCATCGCAAGCGATGCTCGATCCCCTCCCCTCCCCGCGGCGCCACCGATGCCAAATCGCTGTGCCCACCCCCTTCCCTTCCGCCTATCGCGTATGACGTCCTCGTCGATCACTCTCTCTCACTCGGCTGCTCTCACTCTCTTTCTCTCTCTCACTCTCTCTCTCTCTCTCTCTCTCTCGCTCTCTCTCTCTCTCTCTCTCTCTCTCTCTCGTGCACAACAACAACAACAACAACAATGATTATAATAATCGTATTATTTTATTTTCGTCTTTCTTTACGAATTCTCTCCACTTTTTATTTCGTCTTATTAGGTACACATTATTATTATTATTATTATTATTTTCGCCACCTTCGTTATTATATCATACAATTAAATAATATTATTTTATAACAAATTATTATTATGCCATTTTAATGGTCTGCAGAAACTTCTGGCCTGCGCGTCATGTCCCGAGCGATACACTCGATCGCGTATTATTGTTGTATTATTATTTACAACTGCTGTCTTATCGTCGTCGGCGGTTACAGTAATTATTACCTACTGAATACTAATAATATTGTGATTTATCATATATTTTTTTTTTTTTTTTTCATTAGTGTTTTGTTTGTTTTTAGTATTTAATAATCCATTCAAGACTACGAACGTGGCCGCGCACGTGCGGCGGGTGCTGCGGAGATAAAAAAAATGATTTCATTAAATAGAACGGATGACGCCTCGATGGTTTTCGCACGCTACGCTCTGTGTGTGTGGTGATCGTCAATCGGAAAGGAGAGCACCACGCGGTACAGTGGTTTTTGGGTGAAATCGGCGGGTCCCAAAATCCTGCAGAAGGAATCGGTGTTCCGAGAGCCCTTACTAGTTATTGTTTTACAATACCGACGAGCAAATAATATTGTCATTATTTTAGATTCGAAGCCGAGAGATGAATGTATATTGATTTTACAATGATGTGCGTTTTTTATTTTTTTATTTCTGTGTCTGTCATCACAGTCTAGGGCAGTAAAAGTGTTTCGATTTTCTTCAACAGCAACTTTTCTGGTAGGAAAGTGAACCTCGTTTGGTGCATTCGGGAGGTGAAAATTAAAAATTCTTAATCGTTTTCAAAAGCGACAGGAAAAACGGGAATTTTTCGCAAAACCAGTTTTCGAAAAATCGATTTTGGTTTTTAGTGCAACTCTAAAAATAATGACCGTATATACGAGAAATGTTCACTGAATGTTTGTGTTAGCATTTTCTATACACCGTAATATTTTGACTCTTATTGTTGAACTATTTATAGGCATATGAAATTTTCGATTATTATTTTGTTTTTTTAAACTAATTTCAATAAACAATTTTTCAAAAAACTTGTTAATGTAATAGGTATACAATTTTTCTCGTAAGCGGTTGTTAGTGGAAATTAAAAAACGAATTGAGCGTAAACCCACAATACATTTTTATGCACGTTTGAATTTAGAATTTTGATGAAATTCGTCAAAATCACGAAAATTAACAAATTATTTAATTTCATAGAATCTTTTCTTTTTTTATATCTATTACAGGCTAAAGTCAAAATCGGGCAAACCTCAGAAATTTCCGGGGAAAACGCGAAGTACCCACAATCCTTGGGCAAAATGTCATATTTCGGTTTTCGACTGGGCAAATCTCGTTATGACCAACCTCATTTGGGCAAAACCGTGTACTGACTTTTATCGTAAGGGCAAAATCCGTAGTGTCTTAAATACGTTCGCTAATACTAAATACAAATAATCATAAAATAAATATTATTGTACTACACTTAAATAATAATAAAATTATAATGTTATTAAGTACTCGTATAGAAATAAACAAATAATAATATTAGGTACTTTTATAATATTAAAATAATAATAGTAGGTACTCTTGTAACGTTAAAATAAAGAACTAAAAAAAAATCAATACATTTAAACCTAATTTGGGCAAAACCGTCTTAAATAACTTCACCAATTTAAATATAAATAAATAACTATCATAAAATATTGTAAATATATAATTGAATACATATAAATAATGATAAAAAAATAATATTTTTGTTTATTTGTTGCTACACATATTCAACTCATGGCATTTAGAACTACACAAAATATTTTGTTGTTTACATTTGTATCTTCTCGTAGTGCACTTAGTTTTGCTAGAACAAAAAAAAATCATTGTCCTCCAGTTAATAAATTTTGAATACTAGCAGTCCTCAGACCTCAATGGTATTTCGATATTTGGTACATCATCACTAGAAATTAATTGTTCTTTGCACTAAAATATTTGGTTTCTAGCGTATAGACTATAGTGATGACAACATTTCATTTTTGGTTCCTTTTGATGGAATCCATCGTCAGTAATACACTAATACTTAATATAACACCAATAACACATTATTTGCATCGATTTTTCCTCTATCAACACAAGGCACTGGAATTTCCACTATCGTTTCGGCTGTTAGAGGGGGAAATTTGCTTTCGATAAATTAACAAGATTCGGTCATTTATGATCATAATAATATCGTACGATAAAAATCACTATTTTTATTTAATTTTAGCGAACGTATTTAAGACACTACTGTTTTGCCCTTGCGATGAAAGTAGGTATACGGTTTTGCCCAAATAAGGTTGATCATAACTAAGTTTGGCCGGTCAAAAGCAGAAATATGACATTTTGCCCGAGGATTGTGGGCAGTTCGCATTTTTCCTTGGCATTTCTGAGGTTTGCCCAATTTCGACTTTTGCCCGTAACACATCTAAGATTTAAAAATTTTAGTACAAGACTCTTGAAATTTTGTGACAATTGCAGTTGAAAATAATTAAAAATACATAGGCACAATTTTTTTTTTTTATAAGCATTTAAAGTTCAAATGTTGACAAATTTATCAAATTTGAAAAAATGATTTTGTAGTTAAAAATTTATGAAATTTTCAATTTTTATAGCTAAAGATTGAAAATTTAAAACAACTTTTCACCTAAGCAGTTTTTTTCGTAACTAAAAAATCTAAAAAATTTATAAATTACATATTAATTTTTTTATAAATATTTTAAGTTCAAATTTGGACGACATTACACATTAACACAAAGAACAACGATTTTTGCCATTTTGTTGTAATTCAGTTCCAAAACAGCCCCATTTTACGTAAGTATATTATATAATATCTTTCCAGCATTACTGATAATTTAAGAATAATATTATTCATAATATTCATTCAACTGACTGCAGGCTACCGTATCAATAATAAGTTATAACAATAAATCATTTTCTAGACTGACATACCGCCGTCTCCTCTCAGAATCGTTTTTCGTATACAATGATATCATATCATTGAATTAAAATTTAATACCATCCATTACAGTAGCGTTCTAGACACCTCACAACTAAATGTGTACATTAGAGCCACATCCACTTACCCGCTTTTTACCCATATAAATTATGATTTATCTTAAACGTGGGTAAATATTAGGTACCTATAACCTATTTGAGTACATTAAATGTTTTTAAAAAATCGAAGAACTCTATAATATGTATAATATTATGAACGCATACTTAAATGCAATAATGATACATTTTAAGAATGCTAATAACAATGTGTCAATAATATTAATCACACTGACAAAATGTATACTGAAATAGAAAGACTATATAAATAGTCACTAAATAATTATTATATAGATACAAGATAATAATAATATTGTCTTTACCAATCAAAATAAAAATCAACAACCTTTAATTGACTAACAGGGCTAACTGTTATATGTATTGTTGTATGAAGATTTGCAGTGCGCCTCGAGTCCTCACCTGTTGCTATATATTGTAGGTACCCAACATAGCTATAATAATATGTAAACAGTAATACAGCATAATATACTCATGAAATCGTTGATGTTCGAACATCTTTATTTCTTGTGCTTAGATATAATATAATAATATTGTGTCGGTGTACGATAAACGAGTATTCGTACGAATTTACGATACATAATATTATTATTTATATACGCTCTTGATGATAACGTTATATTATTTCAAAAGTAGCGTTCAGACGTGTAGGAATTTATCTGTTTATCGTTTACAGTGCATTTAACGCGCAAAAAATATAAATGATTAATTTATTAATATTATTATAAACAATGTCATATCTCATATGATATTATTATATTTTTTATATATAACATAACAAATTTAAAAAATGAGTAACATCTCCGGACGCATGCTTATATTCAATCACTGCTAGGCCAAGACGAGAAAAATGAATATAGATAATTTATTGTAATGACAGCAAACAAGTATGCCATATTGTTGTATACTATATTGAAGTAAAAAATTGTCAACCGATGGCCCAGATGCCGATGAGGCTTATCTAAATAAATAAAAAATAATAAGAATAAATTACGCAACTACTATCAAATTATTCTAATATTCCTATAAATCTTCAATTCAATAAATGACATGTTCTGATTTTTTTTTTTTTAACCGAGTTCTGTTTTACCTACGTGTGTCGTCTGGGAGGGGGGAGGAGGGGACCAGGGATTAGTAAGGAAAACATACATCATTGAAATGTTGACGATAATGATATTATAGTATTTGCACTAACGAACGAATATAGAACAAACGTTAGAACACAAATTTTTTATTTATAATATAATGTTTGGTTTAAAAGATGAACATATAATATTTCAATATTTGTCTAACACATTACACATTCGAGATTTACTGCATGTTACATAGGTACCTGCCTATAATATAAATGTCATATACAAGAATATAAGATTATAAATACATTGAATTGCATTGCAATTGGAGAGGATCTGTTGGAAAAGGTTATACGAAAAATATTCAGATTCTCAAAAAAAAAGTGTTGTTTTATTTAATCTAACCATAGGTAACGAAGATGTAATTTTATGTAAAAAAAAAAAATACGTAATATACATGTTTTTAAAACATAAATGCCAACATTTCGTGATCTTATAATCCTATGTTGAAATTTCAACTTGCAGCAGTTGTACGAGTAAAAATTACCTTTTTATGAAATTAATAATGTTTATCAATCTACTGCAATCACTGAGTGATCACGGTGACTGTATATCAGTTCTCTATACAAATCGCAATTTAAATATTGAAATAATATTAGCGGCGTAATTGTGGGTGGAGGGGTACAAGGGTGGCACTTACCCACTCTGAAATTTTAGCGGGGGAGGCAAACGTATCGTTCCCCCACCCCCAGATATGCCGACGTCCGACAGGATAATTCTTTAAATCATCTAAAATAAAGAAAGAACGCAATACATTTAACTTATTACATTAATTATTATAAGATAAAAATAATTTTTATTTTTATTATATTGCATGTAAGTACATTTATTTTACGTTTCCCCTGCGTTGCATGATGTGCTGACTTATTGTCAACGTTATAGCATAATTATCTGGGGGTTATTTTTGTAACCCAATAATATTACCTATTAATGAATTTTGATAATATAGTATTCACGTTACATTTTTTAAACAAGTTTTAATACTTTTTTTATAAAGAACTCTTATGCGCTTAATATTACTTAACGATATGGGTACCTATACAAGATTTGTTTCCAAGCCAAAATACGAATTTTAAGACTTGTGTAAAAAACCAATTAGGTTATATGGTTTCGATTTTGGTGAATAAATTATTCTGCCCTCCCCCCCTTCCCCTCACTCTGCAGTTACGCCACAGATTCATACTATCACTTCACGGCACGTCCATCGCCCCACTCATTTGAATTTATTAACGCCAAAACAAAATTTACTACTTTTTAAATTTGTATATTTAAACGTGACCTACAACTTGTAAGTGTTCAGTTATAAAAAACACACGTTATTTAGGGTATAGGCACCTACCTAAACATTATAATTTATAGAGTACAACAACGAATAAATAATAATTTTAATAACTATGATATGCATAATGTGGGGAGGAGACGAAGCGAGGCACGTGCCGACGCGAGAAAAATTATACTATGACTACAGGAGTTTCGTTCAACCCCTACGGACGAAAAACAAACCCCAAGACCCCAATTATTATAGGCCATTAATTATGTTTCTCCGGGTGTACTTTCTAAAAAGATCTCTATATTATAACGTCATCACAAAGACTTTTCACGTCCATTTTGCTAGGGGTGGATGTTGTATAGGCATATTGGTCTTATATTATACTTACGTTTCGTAATCGCACACGACACAATCCACAAGACCACAACTACGGTAAATATTACGAAACTCCATATGCGCTCGTTTCAAATGATCGTCTGGGCACAACATTATAATATGCGAGCCCCGAAAACGAGACGTGAAACCAAGATTCAAATAGGCGGCTGCAGACCTATACCTGTTGACAAACATCGAGGATGGCGTTAATCGAATCCAAAAAAAAAAATCATAATACACACCTACCTATACGTATTTCAATAATTAAAAACAGTTGTTTCTTGATTAATTTGTTGTTTACTATAGGCACCGATTTTATTATCACTTGAAAACCGTTTTTATTTTATCTAACCTTGAGATCTTCTCAGCTTTTCTTAATCTTGTATTTATGAAGTGCTTTAAATGATCTCATAACCATTTATATAAGTTGAGTATATTTCTACTTATTAGAACAATACCTACGTAACATGGTATTCGATATTTAATGCATTTTTGTGTTTTTGTGATTAGGTAATAGGTAGCTTGTATTATATTGTTGACTACGTATTGTCTGACTTTTTTTTAAGCTTAACTTAACTTCCTACAATTATTTATACATTCAATATTTGTTATCTAAAGTTTTTTTTTTACCTTCTATAGATAATAGATACAGTCATAAAGAGATAATAAACAATACATAAAATATTATTATATTAATTAGAATTATTGCCTACTTGAAGGTTATTAAAAGTCTAATCTGTTAAAGAATCTATAGCCTATTTAGCCTATAAAGTTTAGGCGATATATGCCTACAGATATAAGTAGGTACATACCTCATGTCCTCATGTCTCATATACCTTAGTAGTTATATTATGTAATACCTAGGTATCTATATTTTGTAAGTTTTTAACAAGACATTGTTATTACCATTTAAAATACGTAGACATTCAAAATGTCTGTTAAGAGAACGCCTTAACAGCATATTACGTTATTTCAGTCTTACTAACGCACAACATAATATCACGTTTTAAGTTCAACAGAATTCATTTTAGTGTAATTTTTTTTTATTAGAGTGACTTTATAAAAAAATTGTTTTTTAAACGATTATAAGTTGCATTAAAGTTAAGCTGGGACTCTGGATAATATGTTCACCTTTAAATGTAATGAAAAATCACTCCAACATACAATTTAGTATTTACAATGTTAAGTGTTAGTAAGACGGAAACAACATAGGTGCATGTGGGTACGACTTCGAAAGGTAAGATCATTGTACTTATGAGTTTGTACGTTGATCCTTTACGAAATTCCATTGTTGATCAGATTCACGACTATGTAAAAATGTAAACTATTGCAATTCAAAAATGGCCATAATAGATGTGAAAATTAAAATATTCATTAGATAACAGTACAAAATTGCTCCTGTCGAACACAAATTTGGTGTAGCTACTTATTGTTTGTTTGGAAAAGGGTGACAACCGGACAATCCTTTCAAACAATGCAGGCATTTTCATTCTTTATTTTGAAAATATTTCTTAGTACCTACCTAAATATTTAAACAATTTTAGCGCATAAGAAAAATGTACAATTCAATTTTTTTTGTATAACCAATTGAGACAGTTGATTCTGATTTCTGAGTTAATCATGAAAATACTGTGCTATTTTTAACATTGTAGGACTTGTAGCTCGTGGATTATATAGTACCTATATAATGAATACTCTGAGAATATGATTTCTTAAATAAAACAACTAATACATTAGTAAATAAGATAATAAGATAATAGGTATATAGAAGATGGTAGATATCATTAACAGGTTGAGAGCTATGTGGGTTTTTAGTTTTTTCCAATATTGCCACGAGAATCACATTTGGGCCACATTAATATTATACATTTATTAAACGATACCCAATATTGGTGCCAATTTAACAGTTTTTTTTTCATTTAATTTATTATTTCTAAGACATATTTAAATATAACCACATAATATAAAAATATATTTCAATTTTATATACAATGGCAATAGTAAACAAAATTTTAAAATAATGGTCAGTTGTCATCAAAATCTAGTTGAGATCTAAAATTGGGTCCCATGGCGCTCAACCCGTTAAATAAAATGTTAAATACTAATGAAAAAAATTTTGAAATTTAATAATTGTTATATAATATTATTTACTGTAGCAGTGTCCTCTATTAATATAAAAGTAAATCAATGATTTATTTAACTTAAAACGAAAACTTGTAGGTACTCAAACACTACAAACTAAACAAATTATAAATTTCAGATAGGCAAACAACAAATATGTTAGATAAAAAGGTTATTATTCAATATAAAATGTAAATGTTTAACTTATTGTGAAATTTAACATATTTGATTGATATTGATATTGCATATTGTATTATTATTTATTCATTTTGACCTTATGCTTACACAAACACATACAATATTGTTCTGAGATATGTATATTTTATCAGATTTTACTTAAGTAACAATAATAAAATTGCGTTAGAAATAGTTAATAAATTGTAAAACTAAATTAAAAAATATAATGTTTCTCAATAATAATGTAAAAAATAAATATATCATTAATAGATATTGCAATAAGTATAAACACGGCTAAAGAGATAGACAAAAATATTTTAAGGTGTGTGTAGTGTTGCGTATTAAAAACTCCTTGTAACAACATAATATTACTAAAAAAAAAATGTTTTATTTTCATAATAAAATAAAAATATATAGATTGGAAGACAAATTACATACATTTTAATATAAAAAATTACAATTTAACCATCTAGGAAACTAAATACAGTTTCTTATAAAATATTCCATAGTTGAATTCACATAATAAATACAACAATAATAATCACATTAAAATCTAAATACAAATAACAGTATTATACATATATATATATTAGTAATTTTTTAATAGTAAAATGAACTATGAGAAATAAAAATAGTTTAAGCAACCTTAGCTTATATGAATTAGAATGGATACATCTTAATGAGGAATCATGTACTGCAGATAATTGTGAACACTTAATTCTCCCAAGCATTGACAAGCAGCGTCTAAAAAAATATATCATTAGCACATTTTTATAAAATATACATTAATTGTAAACATAAAATAAGTAATTATGTAGAATGTTATTCAGAAGCAAGTGTCAACATGTTTTTTTTCAAATTTTAAAAGATAATGTTTATGGATGGTAAATTATGGTAATTTATTTTCTATATTGTTATAGTAATTGAATACTTATAACTAATAAGTATAGTTTGGTAATATAAGATGTTTAAAATTATCCATAAGTTAGTTATTGCTTATTATTTATTATAGTAATTTTACGATCAGAACATTAGATTGCTTTCGGGGCGTCTTAAGTTTAAAATGAAAGTAGTCTAACTACTTCACTACAAAGTATACTGTTAATATATATTTGTCGATCATATAATTTAAACAATGTTATATCCCAGGGGAGGCCAAATGATCAAACTCAGACATTTTTAATTTGATCAAGCTTTGTTAGGACTTTTTATTGTATATTTAGTAGGTGCAGTTACATATATATTTCAGACCCCCCTATTTATGTGAAATTACATTTTCTCATATGAAAGTTATAAAAGCTGAATACCAAGGTACACTATCTGATTATCATTTAGAGCAGTGTTTTTGTTAAGCAGTTAGAAACTATTTCCCAGATTATATTATTATAAACTGGCAAACAATATGCAATGACATACTTCTATGCCAACAGTAATTTAGTATGAATGTAATTAGACATTTAATGTAAAACATTATCATAAGATCTTAATCAAAAAAAATTTTGGCCACTCCTGCTACATACATTTTAACATCAATATAAATACTGAGACATAAATGTATAAATATTTTGTTTAAACATAGACTAGAATATTTTAGATTTTAGTTTTATTAGTTACAGACTATAACTATAGATAATTAATTCTCAATAAACAAAAATACTGTTATACCTTTAGAACAATTGCATTTCCATAAAACTTTATTTTGAAATGCAGTAGTTAGTAATCCATTGAGATCTGTACTTTCTTCTACAAGCTCAAGAGGCCTAGTAATAGATTCTGAGAATTCAATTACTTCAGCGTGAATGATTCCAGTAAACAATAATACTTCAGTAATGTCAGATTTAATTGTCAACCATGGAGAGTATATACGTATTATACTATTCTTGGCAGCATTTAAAGGACAATTATTCAGAGTTACTAACACTCTATGAACTTCCTTATCTGTAATAGATTACACTGTTATAGTAATGAAATTCATTGATTTAATTTAATTAAAATTATTATTCTAAATTCTTTACCAGATTTCATGTAGTAGCAAAGAAGAACAATCATTCTAAATTCCTTCCATGCTTCAATGACTTTTAATAACGCAGTTTCACCTTGTTTTGGTTTATAACTTTTAGACAAGCTTTTCTCATATTCTCGAATACAAGCTTCTGATTTTTTACGGTTAATAAGCTCCCGAAATTTCCCTCTTAATCCATCTTTACTATAAAAATATTAAGCTTTTTAGTAATGATAAACCATTTTACAAAAAGCCTAGATACTAACCTCATTTTTTTACGTTTTTTAGCAGAGTCGAAACGATTAGGTGATGACGGGCTAATGTCTGATTTTCTTCTATTTATTTCAGGTGAAACAATAATATCATCATTTTCATGAATAGCTCTAGGTGATTCTACAGAGTCAATCTACAAACGAAAAAAAATTACAACATGTTCATATTAACCATATTATTACTTTAACTCTAAATACATACTTTAAATGGCAGTTCATAACTGACAACGGACTGAGTTGGAGAGGCTATAGGTTCAAAAAAACCTGGTAATGTTATACCATCAAAATTTGTTGGAGTTGGAACAGATTGAATGAGCACTTGGCTATTTTTTCCATGTGGAGTTTTAGGTGATTGATCAACTTCAATCAATGGAACATACGGACTTACAATGGTTTCAGGAGAGTATTGGTCTATGGAATTGTCCAGATTCATTGTTTTATGTTCAGGAGTGGCAGGGATTACACTTATTTCGGATGAATGCAGAAATGACATGATATTGTCTTCATTCTGATGAAAAAGCTTCTTTCTTTGGCATTTAAATATTTTTGAATATTCTTTAACTGTATTTTTGGTAAATTCTTTTGTGTTCAAAGATGAATGTGTTAAAGAAGTGTCGGAATAATATCTTTGATTGTCATCATTCATAATATGCAATTCTGTTGGTAATCGATTTTGATGTTCTTGTGATACAATTAATGATTTTTTCAATAATTCAGTTACAGGAGACTCCGAAAATTTTTCTGTATTGATAATATCTATGGAATCAAAATTAATTTCATCACAAAATGCATTTTTGACGGTTGTTGATATATCTGTACTTTTCCGGATTTCATTTGTTGGTAAATTTATTTCATTTTTATCATTGGTAAATGTTCTACTTTCTGGTACTTTCTTCTCATTAGGGTAGTTTTTGATATTAGTTTTTTTTCTACAATTGTTTTTTTGTTTCTTTGTTTTTTTTATAACGGGTAAGTCAATTTTTTCAGAAGATTCAATAATATCTTCAGAATTTAATTTTGATTCCATCGAACTGATGTGTGTATTTACATTTTTATATTTTTCATTTAACTTTTCTGGTACTTGGTCTATTGGTATGTTAATACATGTCTTATAGCTCATGTTTGACCTTTCGTTATTAGATACATCAGCCTTGTCTAAATTGTTGAACATAAAGAACCGTTTTCGATTTGACATAATCTCAGGAGATTTAGAATAACCAAAAACTGTAGTACGTGAATTCAGTTGAACCTTAGTACCTGAAGGTTTGTTGACCGATGGATCATTAACCGTATGTGACGAGGAAATTTCAGTTTTGGAACTTTTTGTTGGAAATAAACACTTTTTTGATGGATGCAATGAGGCATCTTGATTTCTTATTATATTTTTTCGATTTGATATAATTTGGGGGGACTTAGTAGGACAATTTAGTTGAGATGATTTGTATATGCTATGATTTCTTTTTTTTAACCTATTTTCATAATCAAATGTTTCACAAAGTTTCTGATTTAGTTTTTCTGAGTCTGAATGTTTGTATACTTTTCCATTTTTATCTTCTCGGAATAAACTTCTTTTCACACGTTTGTGAACATGTTCTGTTTTATTTTCATTGATTTTCACATCCGGGGATTTAGCGCGTTTTTTAACTTTTTTAACACTATCTTCTATATTAATCCCTTTTAATTCTGGTAATAATTTTGGTTTATGAGTACTGGTATTTCTGTTCCAAATAACTTCTAACGGCTTAAAAGACGAATGGTTTAGTTTGTCCATTTCTTTTCCTATAAACATGAATACATTATGTCATTATATAATATTGTTAGGTATTAAAATAAAATTAAAAAAATATTTTTTGGATTCTTTAATATACATATTAAAATAGATATTGCTATATTATCTCGTGTGATATAATTTTCATTATCCACGACAATTACTAGTGTTCAAGTGACATGCACCACAAGTCACGAGTCCCGACACTGCCAGAAAAAAAGCAATCAACAATGGAAATAAAGTGTCATCGGTAGTTACGTTGTGACTTGGGGGGGTAACCAAAATTTAACGAACAGAACAGAAATTTATTCGATTATTATGCACATAAAATAACCTAGGTATATTATACTAAAGTAGATAGAAGAAAAAAATCAAACTATTTATTTATTTTATATTAAAAAATTACTAACTTTTATATCAGTTGTATTTTTAAGAAAATTTGAAATAAGTGATTGTAGTTTAGTAATTACACGATGATGATTAGAAAATCTATCTTGTAATTGACAAATAAAATGATCCGGAAAAGGTAAAAATATTTATTTTTTGTAATATGGTTCCAGAGAATCAGCTGGAATATTGTTAGTGCAGTTTGTCGACCTACAGTTCTTGGTACTTCAATAATTCCTTCTAACATAGACTCTTCTAAATTAGAAAATATTTGTTTTTGTTTACTCATCATCTCCATTTTCTTGAATTTCTTTAAATATTTGACATTCATCTGTTACTCGCTCATAAAAATGTGACAAATCAATATGAACTTTCTGTAGTGCTATAGATAGTGGTAAAGTTGAAGGAAAAAACTTCACAATCACAATATGTAAAGCTATGATAAAAACTGAATTATTAATGGAATTTGTAAGCTGAAAAGTTGTACTCGATGTTTCTCTATTTGAACATTCTTCTAATTTATTTACAGTATAATAATAAATAGCTTTATATAATTCTTTAAATCGAATTAAACTTTCATGCCGATCTACCCATCGCGTTTCACACATTTTTATTAAATTTTTTTTCCACTTAGTGTGACATATTCATTAATACATTCAATCAGTGTTTTTGTTCTTCGTGATAAAGCTCGGAAAATATATTACTGAAGATACAGTTCCACTCGCATATAATATAATCGTTCAAATACCAAACACAGAATAACCGATCGTTTATCGTACATTAGCAATTTAATAGGAATTTTTGGTGACTGATCGAGTACGGAAAATACGATAAGATTATTGACAAAATGTGAGTTTTACAGGTATGTTATGTATATTGCAATGATACGGTTCTCACACATGCGTAGTTCTCAGTAATCACCTCGATCAATCAATTATAATACTATTTATAAACATTAAACATGTATTTCATACCCGACTAATAAACAAAGAAAAACAGTCAACAGCTAGTAATAAAAATCTTTTACAATAATAGGTGTTTAATTTGACGTAATTTTCAGAAAAATTATTTCGGAGGGGGCGTGTACGTTCCTGCCTACATTGTACCTATTATAATTTACTATCGTAAAATGAAAATTCTTGTTTTTTATATCATTAAAAAGTATATTTTCATTAGGTAAATATTAATTATTATTATTATCTCTATCTATTATACAAAATATTTATAAAAATGACTTATTCTTTTATGTGTAATCAGGAGATATTAATACCATAATGAACTATATACTACTATAAATTGGAAATAATTTATTATTTTAATAGTTACTTTTATTTAAACATTTTGTAACGGTATACAAAAATATCATGGGTAGTACAACGGGTGTTTAACCCGGTTGCGGGGTGATAAATTTTATACTGAGCGTTGGCGGCGCAATACGAAATAAGTAACAGAATAGTTTTGAAAAATAGTTACCACAACATAAAAGAAAAAACAGATGAGCCTGGATACTTAGAAAGGTCATATAACAGAAAAATGACGATATAAAAGTCATGACTCATGAGGGATTCATATGATTGAGAGAATATTTGAAAAGAAATCAATTTAAATTTGATTTCATTTGACGTGACATTTCGCCTAATGTATGTACATTTTTCATTACGATTTTTTTATTTGAGTTATAAACTCTCAGTTTGCAAAAAAATATATTGAAGGGGGTTGACGAACGAAGTGAGCATAAGGCACAGCTCCCTAGTTTTGTACATAAATACATAATATTATTAATTGTTATTTATTCGTTACAAAAATCTGTAAATCTTGTCAAAAATAAAATTATAAGAACGTCATCACAACTGATGAAAATTAGAATACAAACAGAGTTTTCCCAGGACCCTTTATTTTAGGTCGTTAAACCAGGTATGTCACAGGTAACCAATGCCATTATAAACATTTTCTATTGTATATAATATAAATGAATATGATACATTACATTTTGATTTATGCTTATACTTAGTATAATAGTAAAACATCTATGCACTTAAAAAATTAAAAGTTAATACAAATTATAACCACGAATAGTTTTCTTAAGTAGGTAGGTACTTAAAAAACAGATTGTGTTTAATTTAACAGATAAATTAAATTATATTTGAATACAAAAGTGTCGACTTGTAAATTAATATTAAAATAATTAAATCAAAATAATATTAAAATATTCTAGTAACATATTACAAGTCAAAAAAAGGATTCCATTAAATATAATTTAAGCATTATCATTTTGATCAAAAGAAATCCTACCATGAAAAAATGCCATTTGTCAGACTAACATTATATACAGTTGACTTATGGTTAAATTACTAGAACCTATTTATTTCGTATTATCCAAATATTATAGCCAAACTACAAACAGAATTTGCATTTAATAAAATACCAACTGTATGTAGATTAGTAACATATCGTGAACTTTTATAACCTATGTTTTAGTGGCAATGAATATAAATATTACATGCATACCATTAACTGTTACGCATAATCTATACAAATAAATACACATTGTACCTTGGGCCAGAATACTAAGTTTGCAATGAAGTGCAAAGTTTCATTTATCAACTAGGTTATCTATACTTTTTTGTTAAATTAACTATCATCTTTTACAAAGTAATTTATACTAACAATAGCAAATATTTAAATGTTTTAGTATACATGTATAGAAAACATATAGGTTTTATAATAATATCGTCAAAAATAATGTCTTGCTTATATGGGAATAATTATTTTAGATAATTGGTTCGTATTCCACAAAAGACATATTATTTCATCTACAAATAACAATGTACGCACAATTTAAACATTGGTACCTGTATCATTACTCGACTTTATTTTTCTTATACAAATTACATAAACTACTTTGTGCATATTGTGACCATCTCACAGTTATTTAGCTACGCTTAAAATATACACGCCAAAGTGTAGGTAATAATAATAGGTATAAAGATATATAGTACACACGTATTACATATAAAAAATGATATTAACACGATGAGTCATGTGGTACATAAACATAATCTCTGTAGCCTGTATATAGTCGTGTAGACCATAAACAAAACAATATTTTTTTAAAGAAATTATGTTTTGTAAACAAGCAATAAGTATGTTATAAAAACGTTAGGACCATATTTAAACTAATTGACGTAACTTAATAATATAGAAAGAGTAACTTAATTTTTACAAAAAGTTTGCCCATTTCGTGTGAAATTCTGAGAAATTCTGTACAACATTGTACATTAACAAACTACATAAGCACTCCCACTGAGATTTATTGTTTTAGATGATTTAAAAAATAAATAATATTCTTAGATACCATAGTTGATTTTATAGTTCATTTAAAGTTTCAACATTTTTTTTTAAAATTTTAAAGTTGTTTATATTTTATAATTACTTGTTGATATGACTTTAATTTATTGATAGGTACATAGGAACTGTTAACAAAAATGTATATTGTTTTGTAATTATTTAATTTTTCTACTTATTATATAACTTAAAAAAACCATGTAAACCTACATACGAGTATATAAACATTCCAAATACCTACCTAGTAGTCGTTATAAAAAAAAAACAACAATAAGAATTTGAAATAGTATTTACCTATCCATCTATATTACTTCGTTCCAAAGTATCAAACACACTTAAGATAACTGATATGATTCCACATTTTCAGAAATGAGTAATATTTATCTTTATTATAATATATAAAGTGAGTCATGTACTAATTTTTATTCGTTTCAACGTATTTACAACAACAAATGATTTGACCTATACTCTACAGAGTTTAGAGCGTATTTTGACGGATCAGCTATATATATATATGATAATTGGTAAGAAATATTTTATAATCTGCTTTTTACATACCTATTAGGCTGGTACCTACTCAATTTAGTTAAATTCAAATTTAGTATTACATTTGGATACTTTTTCATTAAATCTTAAAAAATACGTTTTATAACAAGCATTTTAATACTAAATAAATATATTGACTTTTTAAGAAAAAATGTACATCGTGGGTATAGGTTTAATCAAAAGACACAATATTATAATAAATTACAAATATTAAATGATATCTATTTGGGATTTAGTTCAAATCGATTTCAAAGGTTAGAAATGAAACCGTTTTTTTTTTATAATAGACAAGCATGTGTGCCACCAGATGTCGCTGTTGCGATTATATTACACAATTTATGACTACACAGTGTATGATATACACTACAGACCAAGGTATAGCAAGCACATCCGCCAGCCGGCCAGCGCCACTCACCGAGACCCGGCAACTAGTCGTTAGTCGTTACACAGTTATCACGGCGTGCACGTTAGGGTTGAGTTAATAGCTGGGGAAATTGTTCTCGATTACTTTTTCGTTATATTATCCTTAATCATGAATAAAGGCAATCAACAAAGTGCTTCATTTGTTTCGCTCACAGCCGTCACTATTATAGCCGTTTTGTTAATCACCCTCAAATATAGTGTACTCTATGTAGTTGCAGTTTTGAGTGCAGTATGGTTAATAATCAATTACTGGAATTTCTTGGTCAGAGTATGGCAAACACTTCCGAGAGACGCAATGTAAGTAAACAAA